TCATCTATTTAGGGTGATTTGAGAGACAAAAATTCCATGCAGTTACAGCTTTTCAGGAACTTATCTTTTACAAATTTAAATTCAATTTTATAAGTGAAATAAAAAACTCTTTTTATGAAGTGGGTCATAACACATACAACAAAGTGAACTATTTGGTCATGAGATACCAATTTATGTAATATAAAACCACGTCCCCTATCCAGCTACAATTGTCCTACTGTATATTAGCAAAAAACTTTTCATTTTTTCATCCTGATACTGAATTATATTCTTATCACAAATTATAAAGCAGTATCATTGAGGGAAAAAAATCTGTTGCAAAGATAACATTAATGGAATACCAAAAAAGAAAACCTTTACAGTACTGACTCAGATCTACAAAGTAAATGCAAAGGGACAGCCATTCCAGTTCAGACAAGAGCAAGGTAAATGCCCATTGAGAAAATGGACCTCAGTCACAAAGTTTTCTTCATTAACCACAGTTGAGAACTACTTGTGGAAAGGATGGAGAATCAGTGTCCCAATATCTGCCATTTGGGAAAGAATATACACACTTAATTTTATAGAAAAATAAAGCCTAGAGTAAAAGCATATAGTTAATTTTGTTATTCAAATCTTGCCAGAGGATATTCTAAAAAGCTGTTTTATTTCTCATGTTAGACATAAATTCTAACTTCTAATGACACTGTGTGAATATTTTCCATTTTAAAAGCCTAACACAAATTATATACTTTAAAAGTTTTAACACAAATTAGTCAAATTTAAGAGACTCTTTATATGTTTCAAACAAAACCATTTTTCAAATTAATATCTCCCAACTACTTGCCTACAGATTTAATCACATTAAGTAACTAAAAGTTTAAGCAAGAAGCACAAGCTTAAAATATCTGACTTAAATGTAAAATCATGAGCTAGAAACTACACTGTTAAAGAAAGATTTTAAAATGTACTTAACATAATGCTAAACTTCTTACATACTTTTGCTACAGTCATGTGGTACAGCAGAAAGAGAAATTAACTTTAGAGTCAGTTCAAAAGAATCAAATCTTGGCTTTGTTGTTTACCACCTGTATGACTTGGGCAAGTCACTTCACCTCTCTGGGCCTCAGTTTCTCCACCTGAAAAAATGAGAGGGTTGAACTAGATAAACTCTAAGGTCCCTTTTAGCTCTAAATCCATAATTCTACAAGTAATGGATCTTGTTAAGAAGGCCAACAAAGTTCATCAGCACAATACTTCACAAACAAGAGTATCTGGAGGACTTTCACATGACCTATGGATAGATTAAAAATCACCTACTGCCCAAACTTTATAGGTGGATGGCCAGTACACTGAGAAAGGTATGTCAGTGGATATATCTATGACATGCATCGTAAATGGACTAGATCACTGCTGAGAAATTAAGCAATCCTTTTAACAATCCTAATCACTGCTCCAACAGAAAATGCAACATTATAAACACAAATGTCATCCCTGAGGTGCTAGAGATTAGGAATCTTGGCTAACTAAAATTTATAAAGGGCAAAGGAACACTATATGGCGTATAAGTACTCTATGGTTTATTCTCAATGAGATATAGATAGATAGATAGATAGATAGATAGATAGATAGATAGATAGATGTGTGTGTGTGTGTGTGTGTGTGTGTGTGCGCGCGCGCGCGTATAAAATAAGCTAGCATTTATATAATCCTTTAAGGTTTGCAAAGCATTTTACATATGTTATCTCATTTGTTCCTTGCAACAACCTTGAGAAGTGAATGCTATTGTATCCTCATTTTACAGATAAGGAAATGGGATGAGAAAGGTAAGTGACTTACCCAGAGTCACACAGTGAGTATCTAAGGTAGGATCCTTCCTCCCTGACTCCAAGTCCAAAGTTCTCTCCACTGCCCCACCTGCCTACTTAATATCAAGGAAATGTATGCCAGGAAAAACTGGTGATCCAGTGGTGTAGGACAAGAGATAGGGATAGACAGCCTGAAGAACTGAACAAAAGGCCACAAAATGTAACAAGGCCAGAAGGTCTCCAGCCCCAATGAGTGGATCTTCTCTGAAGGATTTTTAGAACATGAACCAGAATTTCACTACATGAGAGGATAAGGATGGTTTATGATCTGCACCAATGGAGAGAATGAAATGAACGTGGAAGAGATCACAGATTCAGTGAAACATAAACTGAAGACTCTGCAACACAGCTGTTAAAAGACTTGTTTTGGACCTCATTCAAAAAAAAAATTAGTACTAGAAATATTGTCTTAACTGTCTCACAAAATTAAAGCAGTAGTTTATCAATTAACAAGCATTCATTAAGCCCACTGTGCACCAGGAACTGAGATAAGCCCTAGGTATACAAAGACGAAAATGAAAAAAGTACCTACCTTCAAAGAGAAGACAAAGACATAGGTATATACAAAATAACAAGTATACATGTATATACATGTAAGAATATACAAAATAAACTCAATTATAAGGGAGAATCAGAAAAGGCACAGTAACAAGGCTCCAGTAATCTTTCATTTAAGTCACTTTAGGAATATAATCAGTTCTCAATTATCTGATTGCAGACTACTGGTTTATTGCTTAAAAGTTTCTTCTTCACTAAGCTGGACTAGAGATAGGTCTCCGCTTTCTAACCTCTTTCAAAGGAACTGAACCACAGCTTTGGTCCACTTGGTTAAAGGAGTTGGGCAGATGACCCATATATTGTACTATCACTTGCCAATAAAAGGAAGTACATGGCCTATAAACAGACTACTTTGAAAATTCAGGAGTGTTATTTATCAAGGGAAGCAAGTAAGCTTTTGCTTTGGAGCAAAAGCAAAGAGTATTAACTTCCATTACTACCAACCAAGATACTACATACACATGTATATACATGTGTATGTATAAATATATGCATATGTACATACATAGGGATGCACATATATGAAATTACCTTGAATAAAAAAAGGAAATGTCATTGCTTTCTGGAGCATTTATAAAGATGTTATTTTAATAGAATTATATAATCATAGAGTTAGGGCTAGAAAGGGCCTTAGAGGCCCTCCAACCCCTTCACTTTAAGGATGAGGAAGTGAGAGTGACTTGTCCAAGATCACAGTAGTTTGTAAAACTTTTCTAGAGCATTATTATAGGAAACTGAGAGAATAAACTTACTCTGTTCTTACTTTCCCTCACTGACATCCCACTTGGTTCATCACCCTGTCAAATACTGTATTCATAATTTCATACTCAGACTAAACCTAAGGTGTGTTCAAAGAAAACTGTGCAATTAAAATAAACTAGCCATTACTATCCATGGCTAGCATTTATTAGCACCTACTATGTACATGGCTAAAAACAGGATATGAAGCAAGGAAAAAACTGTCCCATCCTTTAAGAGGCTCACAATCTAAAGGGGAAAGGGGGAGGAATGCAAATTATGTACAAACAAGATATGCAGGATATCTCAAAAGTCTTTGTGCAGTCTGAAGCTTTAATAGTTTTAAAATGCACATTGACTTTTGGGATGCCTCACACGCAGGATAAATCAGAAATAAAAATTCCTTTAAAAGAGGGATCAGCTTGTAACAAAATGACATATTTTACCGTTAAATACTAGTTCTTGCATAGACATCTGATATTTAGGTGTTGATACTTAAATTGACACTATTAATTAATAAGCCAATCTGCTTGGTTTAAGCCAACCATTTAAAAATCAAATGTTCATGCTTTAAATAGGTGCAAGCATGGCCTCTCAAAGCCAGTTTAAAAAAAAATTCAATGTGGCACTTATAAACACCTGTTTTCAAAGTGATCCAATCAGTTCAAAACCAGATGATTTTTCCTGCAATTCTGTAAACCTCTCCAGAAGCAATCAACTTTTGCAGCTCATTTTAAAACAGTACCCTTCACACCTAAGAATAACTCTATCTTAGAGAATTAAGACAAATTTATAAGAACACAAGCCATTCCCCCAAATGATAAATGGTCAAAGGATATGAACAGACAGTTCTCAGATGAAGAAATCAAAGCCATCTATAGTCATATGAAAAAATGCTCTAAATCATTATTGATTAGAGAAATGCAAATCAAAACAACTCTGAGGTACCACATCACAGCCATCAGATTGACCAACATGACAAAACAGGAAAATGATAAATGTTGGAGAAGATGTGGGAAAATTGGAACACTAATATATTGTTGGTGGAGTTGTGAAATGATCCAACCATTCTGGAGAACAATTTGGTACTATGCCCAAAGGACTACAAAAATGTGCAAACCCTTTGATCCAGCATAGCACTTCTAGGGCTATATCCCAAAGAGATCTTATGGGGAAAGGACCCACATGTACAAAAATATTCATAGAAGCTCTTTTTGTGGTGGCAAAGAATTAGAAATTGAGAGGATGCCCATCAATTGGGGAATGGCTGAACAAGCTGTGGTACATGAATGCAATGGAATACTATTGTGCTATAAGAAATGATGAACAGGCTGACTTCAGAAAAACCTGGAAACACTTATATGGTCTGATGCTGAGTGAAGTGAGCAGAATCAAGAGGGCTTTGTACACAATAACAGCCACGTTATGCAATGACTAATATTGTTAAACTGAACCCTTCTCAGCATTACTAGGATCTAAGACATCTCCAGAGGCCTCGGGATGGAAAATGCTGTCCACATCAAAGAAAGAACTATGGAAGTCGAATCGCTATCACTTATTTTTACCTTCTGATGGTTCCTCCTATTGGTTTTAATTTTTACTTACAACTTCACTAATGTGAAAATATGTTTAATGGGTATGTAAATGTAAAGCCCATATCAGATTGTGCGTTGTCTTGGGGACGGTGGGGGGGGGGAGGAAGGGGAAGAAAAATTTTCAACTCAAAAGCATATGGAAGTGATCATTGATAAATCAAAATAAATTAATAAAAAAAATAACTCTATCTTAGATAGTTAATTAGATAAATATCTAAGCCCCTACTATTTGAGAACAAACGGTGGCACTCTCAAAACATACTTTGCTTTTCATTCTCCATTCTCCGTTATGAACAAACTCAAAAGGCATTAGAGGTCCTCGTGAATACTAACATAGTAGCAATTTTCCTACATGAGTAACATGAAAGGAGTCCATCACAACAAATCTCAGAAGAAATGTGAGAAGAAATAAAGGCTGATTTGTAAAGTTACTTTTGAGTGGCTTCACTCTGGAAACCTTTTCAGAGTAAAACGCCTGCTGGATGGGGTGTTAAAAGAAGGTCATTCTTGGCTCCCCTTTTTTTGCATCCCTCTCTCAAGGTCCTTGGGAACACTTGAAATGTGAATCTTTCCAGCCCGTTCCACAAAGCAAATTCGCGGTCACGGTTACGAGGGCCGATGCCATCATCTGCACCAAATTTGGGTGGGCGAGGCTTGAGAGGGCAAATGACGTCATAGGAGATTTCTCCCGACCCCAGGTTTCTAAGGGGCCCGGGGGCGCTACCCAGAAACGTGCCCCTGCAGAGGCTGCAAACAAAAGCCTTCCAGGCCCTGGTTTGTAGCCGACGCCCCGGGAAGCGGAGGCAACGCTGACCGCGTACGCGGGCGGGGGACGCTCAGACAATGAGGGCAGCGGGCCCCGATCGCCTCACCCCCCAGCCCCGCCAAGACGGGATGCGGGCCGAACGCCCCAGCTCAGGCCGCAGATACCACAGGGCCCAGCTGGGCGGATCAGCCGGAGGGGCAGAAAAGGAAGGAGCCGAGAAACCCCCCCCGCCCCCCGCAGAGGAGGGGTGAGAAGAAAGAAGTGGAAGGGGAAGTGGAAGCGCTTCCGCCCTCACCACCACCCCCCCGCCCGCGTAAGCCGGAAGCGGAGGGGCGCTTCGGGGATAACGGCCGCGGGCGGGGCGCGCGCTCCAAGGGAGGCGGCGGGTGGGGCAGCGGCGCGAGCGCCCCCTCCCTCCAAGTGCCGGTGTTCCCTCTCCTCCCCCCCAACCTGGCAGCCCCTAGCAGCTTTTCCTATTCAACAAACCGACCCGAAGTCTTCCCGAAGGTCGCTCTTCCCGCGAGGCAACTTACTCTCCTCCTCCTCTCCCTCCACCACCCCTTCCGGTCAGCCTCTGCCGCTCAAGCCCGGGACTGGGGCCCCAGCAATTTTTCCACCTCCTCCTCTTCCTCTTTCCCAACTCCCCGGCTGCCCGAGGCTCGGTGGGAAAAGGGATGGGTCGGGAGGGGAGAAAGAAAGCGGAGCACCGAGGCGGCGTGCGACCAATCCTGGCGCGGGGGGCGGGGCCGAGTGGAGCCGAGCGGAGCGAAGCGCCCTCGTGTGCCGCGTGGAGCTGGGAGGCTCGTGGGGGGAGAGGCGGCCGAAGGGGGAGCGGCTGGATCTGTGTGCGAGGCGGAGGGGGGGGCGGGGCCGCAGCCCTGCGGGTAGGGGGGGGCTCCTGTCTGGGAGGGGCGGCCGGGTGTGCGCGAGGCGGAGGTGGGGGGGCTCCTGTCTGGGAGGGGCGGCCGGGTATGCGCGAGGCGGAGGGGGAGGGGCCGCAGCCGTGCGCTTCAGGCTTGCAAGGGACAGCCGCTTCCACCGCCGAAGCCGGCCCTGAGAGGCCCAGAAGAAAAGAGTGAGCCCCCCATCAGTGCGGACCTGACACATCTGGGGCCCGGGCTCAGGCACACTGACCACTGGGCGTCCCCGAGCTTCTTTCTTCATCAGTAGGGGCTCCTAAGTGTTTAGGGGAGTGAGATGTAAAAGACCAAAGGTCTTAAATTAAGAGCCTGATTGATTTATTCAGACGAGATTCTCTTGGCTTCACTTCGAGGGAAAATCATTTAAAGTTTCAGTTAGCCTTATGCCCCAAAGGCGCGAAGTATAAAGGCTCCTAATTTGCAATATAGAGCAGATAGAGTCAAGTGAAATAAACAAGTATTTATTAAGCACCTACGTTTATTAATTTCTTGCTACGTGCCAAGCACTGTGCTAAAGACTGGAAATACAAAAGCAAAAAAAATAGTCTCTGCTTTCATTGACTTAATGGGGGGGGGAAAGCAGCGGGGAGACAAGATGCAAACAACTAAGCGCAAACAAGATACAGGATAAACGAGATAATCTGAGAGGGAAGGGCTTTTGGCTGAAAGTGAAATCTTATTTGAGATTTGGAGGAAACCTGGAGGTGGAAACGGGAAGGAAGAGATTTCTAGCAATGGAATAGCTCCATACAAAAGAAATTCCTAATCCCAAAGCTCTTGTTGGCACAGCAATGTATAACTGCTGTTACAGTTAAGGGGAAAGTTGGTAATGAAAATGGCAACATTATTTGGATCTGCTGAACTGGTTCCCCTAAGTAAAGCAGTGGATGCTAGGCCTGAAATCAGAAAGACCCTAATTCAAACCTGGCTTCAGACAATGGCTGGGTCACCCTGGTGTGACCATTTAACCTTTGCCTCAGTTTCCTCACCTGTAAAGTGGGGGTAATAATAGCACCTACCTCCCAGGGTTGTTGTGAGACTCAAATGAGATAGTAATTATAAAGTGTTTAGCACAGTGCCTGGCAACATAGTAAGTCTATGTAAATATTAGTATCTTGACTCTGAAGTCTCCCTTAAAGTCCCCTTCATCTGGAAAGCCAGGTAAGAGTTTAGGTTCATAGACCTACCAGTGGTCACATCTGTTCTGAAAAGCATATTAGTAACTACAGAGGGCTTCTTCTAAATTATAGCCAGCCCCAGTGAAGGAGCTCAGAAGCTCTAGACCTCTTGAAATTATAAGGTTGTCTCCAAGACTGGAAATTCCTAATCCAGGATCACCATGTGGTCCCAGAGTGTCAGAAAGAAAGAAAATAGGGGCATCTAGGTGGTGCAGTGGATAGACCACAGGTCCTGGAGTCAGGAGGACCTGAGTTCAAATGTGACGTTGACACTTGACACTAGATATGTGACATATATATGTATAGCAAGTCACTTGACCCCATTGCCTAGCAAAAAAAAGGAAAGAAAATAAAGAAGAAGCAGCTTCAAGAGATAGAATCTCAAGCTCAACTAGGTCAGTACATGTGCTACCTACCATGTGTTAGCAGTTCCCATTTTTGCCAGGGTGGGGCTTTCTCTCTAGAAGTCCAAGGAGAGGCCCTCCCCAATGTCTTAGAGGGTAAATTTATTCCTTTAAGTTCTAATCACTTGCCTCTTCCTGGCTTAGTGACCAGTCCTCTCTGATGTAGGCACTTATGCTTGTTGATGATTAAGGGGACCAAGAGACCACCCAGAAAGCGCTATATATATATTATTCCATCCAAAAGCAACAAATATTTAATCACTGAATGAGCAGTGTGGCCCACCAGAAAAGATTTGGACAAGCATGTAACTGGAAGGGGATGCTCCCAGGGGTGTACTCTAGTCCGAGCTGATTGAGGAGAGGGTTCACTCATTACACTTACTACATATGAAGAGAGTTAAATGCAGTGCAGGGGAATTTAAATGAAGTTCCACACTTTTAACAAAACTTTATTGCTACTCACAAGTCTGTGGGACAGACTTTAGTGTTCAACTTCCTTGCAGGGAGAAGCTCACAGTGGGGAAAAGGAGTGGGCAGTGACTATCCACGCTCAGGGTGAAGGCAGAGAACCTTTTGGAGCTCACACTTATATGGAGTTTTAGACAAAAAGCCAGCATGGCAGCAATAGGAAACTGCTTTGTTATCTATAAGACCAGTGAAGTGAGAGTATTTTCTAAATTGCCTTAATAAGGAATGAAGGAGGAAGGACAGGGATGTTGGTAACTTATTTCTAAAATACCATTCAGCAAGGACCTGGAAAGCAGGAGGGGATAATGCTTAGTCTCTAGTTCATGCATACATCCTGAGAGGAGGTGGGGAATGGGAAGTGTGTGCCCTGTTATACTGGTTTGCACAGGCTCACAATCCATCCTCAAACCCCAGCACCCCATCAACCAGATCAGAAGCTCTCCACTCAGAGGCATATTGTAAGGTGGCTGGTGAAGGAATTAGTAAGCTAATGCTGGATGAATTGCAATGCACAGCAGATTTTAATCAAAATTACAGCCTTGCCCATTATGCAGAGGGCCAGGGTTTGGAAGGCACTATGGATCCAGCCTCCTCAGAAGCCAAACTAGCCATGAGAATAAATCCCATATGACAGGATCTGGTCACACCCCAGAGAGCCAGCCTGACCCTTAATTTCCCTTATGGTTCAACTTGCCCACTAGTATTAACCACAAAACCACAGGAAGCATTTGGCACACGCCCCTCCCTGGCTGTTTAGTTAGATAGTCCAGGGCAAGGCAGTTATATATTATCATGCACTTCCAGGGCTTTAGCAATCCACTTGAGCTAAGGTTAAGAAGTTTTTGATTGCTTTTTTGGTTTCAGCCACCTGTCTCCAGAGAGGAGAAAAAACCCTTACAAACTGACGGAGCCCTGTATATCTGGCCCACCCCAGGGCACTATAGTGCCTTGACTGTGGCAGCTTCCCTGTGCCTCCATCAAAGAAGAGGCCTCTCTGTTCAATGAATAGTGAGGGACAGTGCCACCTTTCACACCCCCTTAGATTTTTTTTGTCATGGACTAGGGTGGGGAAGGTTATGTTATCATAGAAATAAATGGTCCAATGGGGGTGTTGCCAGTTTATCTAGGCTACATGAAAGTGGTATCGAGAGGCGCATACCAAAGCTTCAAGCCGTCCCTTTTCACAGAGCCTAGGCTTCCACAACCAGTTAAACTGGATTTCACTGGCTCAGCAATACAAACTCGGTATTTTGGCTCCAGCATTCTGCAGTCAAAAGAAAATATAGAATGCTAAGCTGATTGCTTCAATCTCTAAGACTCTCTTGGTATCCACACATAACCCCAGGAGATTTGCCCTTTTTGTTGCTTCTGTGAGTCTTGCAAAGGCCCCAGAATGATTCAAGGGGGACCCAGGGAAAGGAGACTCTAGAGCCCTTCTATGGAAAATGGAACTGTCCTAAGCTCATAGTGAACTTCTCTGAGACCAAAGATGACATCATAAAAGCAACGATGGCTCTACTTTACTGTTTTTTCTCTCTTGGGACTCAGGGTTAAGAGACAGCTGCTATAAGCACCACAAAACCACATGGGGAAGAAATGCCAGTATTATCTACAATCCAGAGTCTGCTGATGACTTCAGGGTGCTATTAATCCTTCCAGTTATCAAACTGCTGAGCCAGTGAAAATCTCTCCACATTCCTTCCTCTTTATGGGAGGAGTGAAAGCACATCCCATCCCTGCACTCTCCATCAACTTCCGAAGTTTGTGAGAACGTTCCCCACATAGGTCTGGGAGGGGAAAGAGCATGAAAGAAACAATAATGCAGGTTTAAGGGAGTTAGTATGTTTCTCTTTTCATTGTAATTCATATATTAAACCTGCCACTGGTGATACCACCCCCACCCCCAAAGCGTTGCTTCTGAATCAGTGGAAGAAAGACTAAAGGAAGGAAACTGAATTACTTTCACTGAATCAAAGCCAGGTAACTTTAGTAACATATCTTTCCCATATTTATATCTTATTTCCTAAACTAGAATGCAGGAAGCAATAGCTCTGGGCAAAAGGTCACCCCTTCTGACAGAAATGGCAAAAGCAACAGACTGCAGCCAATCAGGGAGGAAAAACAGGCTTTGATT